CCCGCTCAAAAAGGAACAAGGTGAGCTCAAGAAAACTAATCGGCATGTGGTCAGCCGAGCCATCGTCCAAAGGCCTTAAAGCCGCAACCAGCCAGGAGGCATGGGCCGCGACCGAAGCGGACTTAAACATTTGGAAAATGTGGCGCCAATCCTCCGGAAGGCTTGTGGAGAGAGTGCTCTGTTGGGCAATCTCATCCCAAGGCGTGTCATCAATCACCTGTACAGGGTCTCCAGCCTGCTGCTGCTGTAGCTGATCGCCGACAGCCAAATGAAAGGTCCGGAGATCCCGTAAAAAAGGAACCCATCTGTCCAATCTAGCCCTACCTCGGTCTACAAGCTGCCAAAAAAGATCTGGCCGATCAAGGTTGGTTCGAATGGCCTGTCGATCAGCCTGCTCGTTCCAGAGTACGGCCCACTCTTCCGCCGCTAGCCCACATCTCTCCAGCGCGATGTGAGAGGGCATCCAACAAACAACAATCTGTCCAGTATCCAGCAAAGCAACGCTAGAGAGGAGATCGTTGATCAGGTCGTGGTTGTCAACCGAGGGCGGTACCTGGCTAACCAGCTGTTCAAGGCCCGCACTGAGCCAATGACAGGCGTACTTCGAGTCAGTCCAGATCCGAGCCTTCACTCCGAAGGAAAAGGCCCATCGGACACTAACTAGCAGCGCGGTCAGCTCCGCCCGGTTGACCGTTTGTAGTAGTCCCCCGAGGTGTCCGGTAGCAATCGGTCGTCCAGTGGAGGCGTTTTGCACCGCCCATGCAGCTCCCTTAATGTAGCCAGGAATAAAGTCAATCAAACTACCATCCGTGAACAGCTCCTGAAACGAACCCCCTGGCTCCGAGAGAAATGAACCCATGGGGGGAATGTTGATGAAGTAGTCCTTCAACTCCCGGAAAAAGTCCGCCCTAGGGACCAGCAAGTGGTGCAAGGTGCACTGTGGCCATCCGTGTTCCGCTGCAGCAAGTTCGGGGTTGTGAACACGAAGATCCTGAAAACGAGGACATGAAAGCCAGTGCCCGGGGTGGTCGGCGACCCTACAAAAAGCACACAAAGCCTGCTTCGTTCCATCAAACTTAGCCTGGTGCCAAGCCGAAACGAATGCCCCCTCCTTGAGTGCCAAAGTTTGTGCAAGTTGCTTGACCGACAGCCTGTCATGGTCAAGTTTGGAGAGGTATGGGTCTAAGCCCCGGAGATCCGACATAGTGTGCCTCTTGCAAACAATGGATGCGACATGCTGCAACCAACCGTCAAGCAACAATTCGTGCAGCAATTGGCGTGGCGAAGCAAGCAAATCGTGCTCAAACCCATCGTGGTCTAACACCAGCGGCGGTTCAAGGACAGCCCAACCAATCTCCGACAGACACGCAACCAACCTAGAGAAGGGACCCGGAATCGTGCGCCCGTCGAAGGCATGCATAAAAGACTGCCAACGCTCGAGAAGCTCAGGAGACTTGAAGCACAGACGACGAAGACAGTCAACGATCCGGACCAGCTGAAAGAATGCGGGTTCAGCAACCGGAGGCTCAGACAAGGAGAGACGCAAAAGCGGATTCGCGCCCCCCACCCTAAGTCCAAGGGCAGAGGTGGCCTGCCGGCGAAGAGTTTGCAAGTGCTGAAGTCCAAGGGGGCATGCTTCGCTCCCATGTAGGGCCTTGTTCCAGCAAACCATGGGAAGAGCCTTAAGCTTGAAAGCCAAAGGGGCCTTGGACTGACGAAGTCTTGCCCAACAGTCCTCGAGTTTCTGGCCTTTGGCGCGAAGAAGCCGATTTCGCCAAGCTGCGCCAAAAGAAAGTGCCCCGCCCAATTCCACGGCGTCCTCGTAGAGCGGAAATCCAAGGAGCTTCAATTGCTTGCGCAGGTCACCCGTGGTACCCCACAGGTAGGTCTTGGTATCATCCAGGAGCAATCCCCATAACTCCAGAAAGGCTTGCAGAGAAAAGTATGCCTGGGCGACATGTTGTGCTTGGTGCCCCGCTATGGAAATGTTATCCACGAAACTGAAGGTTCTTGCTGAAGGTGCAAATCTAGACTGATAGACATGCATAGACCAATCAAGGAGCGCCATAGCTGCAGTGGAAAGAGGATCGCCCTCAGGAAATCCAACATTGCTGAGATGGGCGTCACCAAGCTCATTGTGGACTAGAAATCTTCTCTTGAGGCCGGCCAGGAAACTTGCCCAGGGTCGCGTCAGCCTTTGTGGGGCCCCAACATGAGCTGCCAAGTAGAAAAGAGGAGAGCGCTGGATGTGGTTAAAGGCCTTGACCACATCAGTGGTAAAGGCCTTGACCACATCAGTGGACAGGCCCCCGAGCGGCATTGAGGCCTGAATGCAGCATTCAATGTGCGCCTGGAGCAATAACCAAATTTGTGCCGTCTCTTTCTCAGGCAGGAAACCATAGGCATCGGTGTGAATGTATGCCGTCAGTTGCCTGAGAAATTGGCGTGCCCGCAAGGAAGACCAGCATCTGTATACGATGGACAGCAAAGCAATGGGTCTGAAGTGATCTGGAGTATGTGAAATGTCCTTCTTGGCCAGAGCTATCACGAAGGCTTCCAGCAGTTGAGTGGGCCACGCGGTCTGCCCCTGCTCGACGGCCTCGATGAGGGAAAGAAGTGCGGCAGTGTGGCCATCGGACATGCGAAGAAGGTCCTGCTTGCCGAAGCCATCTGCTCCACGAGCGGCCTTAGGCTTGAAGCGCTTGATGGAGACCCGCCACTGTCTGATGGTGATTGGCTCAAACACAAAGCGGCCAGTCGGCATGAAGGCCTGCGTGAATGTGACAATGCGGAGCCAAGCTTCCTCGGAAGGTGGAGTTTGCAGATACCATCTGTCCTTCCAAAATTTACCCAGCTCGGTCTGAATCTCCATGGTGGTGGAGGTAAAGATACGCTGAGTCAACTTGGACACCCCTGAATATGACTCCGCTGAGTCGACCAGGACCACTGTGTCCGCGATGGGAGTGACCTGAGCCGGTAGCCCATCCAAAAGCCAAGTGGAGTTACTCGCAAGGGTGGCAGGCTCATCCAAGTGGATTACCCCCTCGTCGTCGAGGTCAACAAGTGGGACAAACTCTTCATCCCTCCAAAGGCAATCAACCTGATCTCGTGCCGGAGGGCGGAGGTCTTTGAAGAGCCCTTCCATGGTGGCTTGCCTCTTGGCCTTGAGAATGCCGATGCGCTGCTGACAGTGCCAATCCTCGAACTCACGAAAAGCTTGCAAAAAAGTGGTGAAGAGAACCTCTGCCAGATTGCGCGAAGGTGGAAAAAGAGGAAGCTCTCCAAGGTACAAAACGAATTCTTGACTATTCCACCATGCAGGAAATCCATCTGCGAAGCCCTTGGCGTGTCGAATGCTATGCCAGAGATCGACCCTGTAAAGCGTAGCCGAGGTGCATGAGGCTCCCTTCCGGATTGAGTGCAAATAAGATTGCAATCTTCTAACTTGCTTGTACCACAGCAGTACAGCCCTCCCAGGCATCTGGTAGCTGAGCTCAATCTCCCCAGGCCGTGAAGCTTTGCATGAAGGCGGAGAGCTGAGAAGCTTAGAAGGGCAGGTCCTCTGTGCCCGTCCCTTGAATCCTGCCGGAAGTGGCTTACCCAGGCTAGGGGTCCAGTGGCCATCAAGAGAATTCTCGAACTGCTTTGCGAAATCTTGGTAGAAGACGGTGGCGTCCTGGTTGCACCAAACCTCAGGCGTTTCCAGACTAGATTGCCAGTCGTCGACCGCGATGCTGTCCCAAGGAATCTCCGACGGCCGTGGCCAAGCCAGATAAGTATGCGGCACTTCATCCAGTTGGAAGGAAGCAAGAACCGTGCTGTGGTCCACAAAGATATCATAGACCTCAACCTCAGTGCACAAAGCAGCCAACCGGGGTGAGAGCCAGATTTGATCTCTCTGAGTACTGCCCTTGCAGGTAGGTGCAATGGGCGTCTGCCATCTGGTGTGTGCAAGTGTTTGAGCCTCCTGCCAGCCATATGAAGCCCAAAGCTCCATTTCCGGAAGCTCCCCTGGGTTGAAATTGAAATCCCCAGCCACCGCAGCAAGCCCATTGTACCCAACGATGAGGTGCTCCGAGATGAAAGCAAGGAGCTGTGATGTCAACTCGGCCGCTGCAGGCCACGTAGGGCCCCGTGGGAAGCCATAGATGCTGGCAAGGATGATGGAATGAATCCCCACGTGGTGGATAGAAAAATGAAGTCGACAAGAGCGCCATAACTCCGCAGGCATTCTCAAGTCCAATGTTTCGCAAGGGAAGTCACCGACTGTTGCCACTCCCGACCAGCAGCCGGCCCAGGATGAGCCACTGCGAAGATCAGCAGGATGGCCGAACAAAGTTCTGACCTGTCTGTGCTCAGCCTGTGCTAGATGCTGAAGCCGACGGCCTGATGTACGCTGTGTGGCCTCACTGAGATGCGTCTCGCTGACTTGATGTATGCCAGCTCCCAACGAAAGAAGAAGCTCTTCTTTGGTGCGTAGCCCCGATGGATTGGAAGTACTGATACGTAGAGGCCCAGGATTGGCGGCTTCACCAAGAAGTCTGAGGCGGCCGAGTCCAAACCAGAAGGTGTGCAACGAGCCGCCCAGTCTCCCCCAGGCACAAGCCCCAGCCTGAAGGGGAGACAGAGAGGGAGAAGCCGCAGTAGATGTAGTCTCAAAAGATGAGTCAATTGCCTGGTCCAGGTCCCCACCAGGGAAATGATCATGCAGAAAAGAAACTGGCTGAAGAGGTAGTGAGCGTTCGCTTAAGCCCAAGGTCCAGCGAACCGAAACAAGGCCCTCGGGGGACCCAAGAGATGTTCCCTTCATACTCCAGAAGCGGCGCCGCCGAAGAGAAAGTCCAGAAAAGAGTAGCCAAAAGAAGGCGAAGCCCCCTTGTAGTGTAGAGGCCATGAGGGATTGAGGCGCCCACTCTGTCCCGTGGTTGCCTGATGAAGCTGCGACCATGATGAGAGGCCGGCGGATCGGTTGGTCGAGGTCCGATCCCCTTGTGGCCTAGTCAAGCTTCGTGTTTGGCCTTCTTGGCCATCATGGCCTCCAGCGTATCGAAGCGGCCATTCATCTCCTTAGCAAAATCACTCTTGACCTCATGCACCGCTGTCTGAACCAGCTGCTGAAATTTGGCCTGCCCAGTTAGGACTTCTTGTCCCAATCTCTGGATTTCTTGCTTCTGGTGCACGGCCTGTTGTTGAAGTTCGCTGATGGAGGCTTGCGTGCTGTGGCAAGTGTGGTGAACGTCATGGAACCACTGAGAAAATTGCTTGTTTTGTGCCTGGATTTCTGTCAATCCGCTCTCAAGCTGGAGAATGCGCTGATCCGTGTCAGGATTGGCTGTGCCTATCTGCTTCAGCTTGGAGTCAAGATCCTGCTGGATGTCCTGTCGGATCTCTTTGGCCAGGTCGTCATACCTGCGTGCAGGGGCGGCAGGTGCTGCAGTAGAGCTGGATGGCTGCGAGGACCTAAAATTGGCCCAGGGGTCTTTGGTCTGGCCGTTGTGCCATGGGTCATTGGAGGCAGGGGGTCCCGCTGCCGCACTGCGGATGTGCTGTTCTGTTTTGCGGGTTGCCATGACAGTCGGCTGGTGAACTGTGGGTGCACGTTTGGAGACCTGTCAGTGATGAGGACGTCGAGCTTGAACCCTGGCATGACAGCCCGTGGTGGAGGCGTGGCAGCGCCGATGGTCCATGCCATGTAGCCGGCATTCCCCTTGCCAGGTTGCAAGGGTTTGGCTGACCAATTCCATTCTTTCAGAAGTGCGCTGACTGCCGACTTCTGAGTGCCGTGAGGGAGCGGCATGAGGTTGTAGATCTGTTTGACCTCAACATCCATGAAGGGCACCCCTGGCCGCAAGGCCTTGAATGCGGTTTCTTCATCTTTGGCCAGAACTCGGACCCCGAATCGTTGCTTGATGCGCATGAGACAAACAGTCTTGGAGCAGGTCTTCGCTTGATGTGAGGCAGCTAGATGATCCAGTCCAGGAAGCCAAATCACTTTGTACCGAGGGTCCGGCCCCTTGGTGGTCTGACATCTGGGCTCAAAGAAGAAGCCTACCGGCTGCTGCTGCAAAATCTGTGACACCATAGAGGAAGGAACCCGGATCAAAACAGAAAAGCAATCAGCCTCCTTGGCTTCCGTCTTCTTACCCTCCATGGTGGTGAAGAGGCGGCTCCATAGGTCAAGAATTACCCCATCATACTGTTCATCGACAGCTGGATGAGCCTTCTGGCAATCGGTCGTCTTCCCTGTACACTTGCTGTCCTTACAGAGTTGCAATGCCGGTGTGGCATCCGCGAGCTCACGGATGGGAGCCCTGGAAACTGCCTCCCATGAGGTGCCCAGTAGATCACGATATGCCTGGATCTTGAGAACCGTGGTGGTCACAACTGCAGGCTGTGGCATGCTCTGAGAAGCCTTCCTTTTGACAGCAACATCTCCAAGTTGAAGAAGACCTCCGAAAAAGACAACTGGTTCCTCGGTAGCTTTGTACTTGGCGGGAATCATGCATTTCTGAATCTTCGCAGCAGCGGTGATGTCTTCCTCCGGCAGGTCAATGAGAGCTAAGGCCAGGGCATCCGAGCTGGGACTGCTGGATGAGAAGAAGGGAGCCGCCCCCTCAGCGTTGCAAAGGGCGATCCCACTTTGATCAGCGGCCACCTCTTGGAAGTCAATGGCACCAACTCGATTCCCGTCCTCATCGACAAAAGTGTCTGGGAAGAGTTCCAATGCCTGGGGATCCACTTTGATAGGCTTGGAAGCCAGCTTCTTCTCCCTGGCACCTCGTTGTTTTTTGCTGGATGCTGAGGCTCCAAACGTGGTCTTCTCCCTATCTTGCAAATGCTGAGAAAGTTCCAAGGGTGTAACCAGTCGTAGACGAAACGAAGGCTTGCTGGCTTCAGCCTTGAGTGCTGCCCATGGCATCTTGGATCGAAGTGCGGACTGAACCAAAGATGTCCCAAGTTTCTCAAGCACCAATGTTGCTCTATCCCGCGAAAGTTCTGCAGGGACTCCATGTTCGCTGAGTAGGCTAGCTAGCTCAGAAAGGGTATCGGCCCGCCCAAGAGGCCCGTAGCCAATGAAGTCAGCCTTCCGATCATGAAGAAGAAGATGCTCATGGATCCGTGTGATGTTGTCTTCGGTGAATCCACCAGGAAAGCCCAATGCAAGGCAAGCATGAAGCAGGGCAATGGTGCCACATGTGTACTCCGCCTGCTGAGTATAGTGTGAGGCCGAGGTAAAGCTTGTGACCGATACGCCGAGCAAGGCAGAAAGCTGCTGAGAAAGCTGAGATGCTGCTTCAAAGAGCCGATCACGAAGTCCATCGAAATAAGTCCAAGCAATGCGGCCATCCTGAATGATTCCATGCAGTAACGCCCAATGCTCATCTGCAGGGAAGATGCAAAGCACCTGCGCAGAGCCCTGGATAGCCCCCGCTTCAAGCACAGGAGGAAGAGAAGTGCGCAGCAATGTATTAGCTTGCTTGGGAGAGAACACCCAGACCGGACCAGCAGCCATGAGCCCACGCTGCCGAACGACACTCTGAAGTGTAGTCCAAATGATGGGATCCCCCAGTCCAAGTCTTGTGCCATCTGAACCATGAGTAGGTGGTCCTCTGCCAACCAAGGTATGCCATCCGCTGACTAGCCAAGGCAATGTGAGAAGCCTCAAGGAGCGCCAGAGCCGGAAATCTGCCCCATAGACCCTGCCCAAGTCGTCACGCAGAAAGAGGATGTGCTGCAAGTTATGCTTGCGGAGTACCTGGAAGAGAAAGCTGCCGGGCTCAACACATTCAATGATCAGCTCTTGCTCATGAGCGATACCAATGGCCAAGAGTCCGGTGGGGCGTTCTCTTGCTTGCTGCTTTCCATGACCCTCAAGAAGGTAGGACCCTTGTGCTTGCAGGAGTGAATCATCCGAGATAGGGAGGCCGCCCTCGGCTGAAATCTGACCATGGTGACCCCAATCCAGTTGAATCCGTTCCGCAGAGAGCAATGAGCCCGCGGTGGAAGCCCTGTTGCACATAATCTCAAGGCAAGCCCCGTTGGACCAAAGTTGGAAGTGCATGGGCTGAGTATCGAAAGCCGGAAATCCATCATGCAGTTGCCGGATCAGCTCACGTTTGTAGTTCTCCAGCGTGGCAAGCGCCGTGAGGACCTCTTCGGATCCAGTGGCCATCTGGTAGTTCTCAACCAAGGTGCCGTAGATCCAAACCATCTGAATCGGAGATGCAATGAGGCCCAGAAGACAATTGCTTTCCCGAGGTCCCAATGGAAGGATAACAGAATCGGGTACACCAAGCATTGCAGCCAGTTCCCTTGGGTGGAGGAATCTCGGATTGCCGTGAACTTGAGATGGTACCCAGCATCCACGCAGCCCCTGATCCAGAAGGGTCCCAAATCTGAATCCAGCCGAGCGGCAGTTGCAAGGGCAGGGCCGAGTGGCATTGGAGTAGGAGTGCAGGAAGGTCGGAGCAATGCTGTCCAAAGTGAGGCAGCGATCCTCTTTGCCCAGCCTTGGGTCCATGTAAAGAGCAAGCTCATCCATGTCCAATTGTAGCTCGGTTTCGTCCGGCTCGCTCCAAGTCCCCCATTGCGGCAGGACCTGCCCGATCTTGGGTGTGGAAGGAAGGAAGGGCCAAGGGTGAAGTCCATGATGATTCCATCGAGGCGGGATCAACAAAGCCCACCACCAGAGACGCTTGCACGGCCACTGTGTGCCTAAGTCAAACGTGAGTTCGAGGATTTCGAAGCCCATCGCCTTGGCGAAAGCAGCAATTGCTTGGCGTGTGTCATGATTCGACCTGGCTGCCGCCACGCACTCCAAAATCACGGCTTGGGGTTGAGTGAACCAAAATACCCGAAGGCCTGAGAGCAGTACGAATGCCCTGCTATCATTCCAACCCTGCATCCTGCCCTGAGAGCTATAGGGTTGACACGGAAAACCCATGGTGCCAGTAAATCCATGCTGAGGGCAAGCGGCATGAATGATACGTGAGGCCTGTGGGTCATTCAAGTCCAATGCCAAAACCTGCCCATGAGAGTTGGCCTTCAAATGACGAACCGAAAGCGGCGAAAAGTCCACCGAAACCACAGGGACAGCGCCAAGGAAAGAGGCGCCAATGGACATGCCGCCAAAGCCAGCGCAGAGCTCAAGCAGGAAAGGAGCCAACGGTTCTTTGGCATCAGGTGCACTACGCCACCAACAATCGGCCGAAGGAACCAGGACCAAGCAAGGGTCAATTTCGAAGACCTCCAATCCATAAACCGAGACACGGCCCAAGGGAAGCCCCAAGCCAAGCAGAGAGCACTCGACACCGAAAGGGAGCAAGCGAATCCCACAGCCACTAGCCGTCGAGTCAAGGACATCGACAACCACATCTATTCGATCCCCAACTGACCGGGGAGGGAGACCGAAGATGTGTTCTTCCATGGCAAATAAAAACCCTGTCCCGAACTATCGGCTGACGCTGGCTACCACTGGCAGGCACTCGGGCAAAAACACCTATTTAAGCGATGAATAAAATGGAAGGAAGGAAGGAAGGAAGGAAGAAGCAGTAGCAGCAGCACCACCCCAATTTCAGTCGGCTCATATTTCACGGACGTCGGCTTGATCGAAGTCCGATCCTATCAAATAATGTCCGATCTGTGTGGATTGTGTAAGTACCACTCCTACTCCTACTCCTACTCCTACTACTACTACTACTACTACTACTACTACTACTACTACTACTACTACGAGTTACAGTCTGAGTCTTAGTTGTAAGTAAGTTTTAACTTTAGTAATGAACTACAAGTTAACTTGCAATTTGATAACAGAACTTGTATTAGGATAAGTATGTATAACTATAGTTATACTTAATGAACTTAACATAAAGTTATAACTAAGTTGGGATAGAACAAGTTAGATGTCAGCAAGTTATAAGTAACCCGGGTGTAGTTAGGTGGAAGTTTATAACTTAGTTAGGTCTTAGTTACACCAAGTTATTTCTAGTTATTCGTGGTTACAACATTATGTTTTATATCTAGAAAATTGTGCAGACTTTGGTTCAAGTGTCCCTGAAAAAAAGGATTTGAGGCATGTCGACCGTTGCGGAGCCAATGGCAAAGATGCTAAGGCAGCAGCAGGACTACACGCGCTTCGATAGTTTCTTGTATCTATACATACATCCACATTCTGTATATCTCTGCATATATATATATATATATGTATGTATAATTTTTGGAGTATTCCTTTGTCGGCCCTTTGTCGGCCCCGCGTCGAACAGCGTCGCATTTCGCCGTGTCGGCCCGCGTCGGCTGCATGTCGGCCCCACACACACGTATACATGACACACACACACCAGGGTTGTAATTCAATGAGTCGGCCCTTTGTCGGCCGGCTGTCGTCAACCAAACTCCTTTCTTCAATCCTTGTCATCGACTGGACCACCCGACTCGATGGCTGCCGGTGAGCTGGTGGCGACAGATTGATCAAAGTGTCGACTGTATTCACTGAAGCGGAGGCGTGGTATGGAGCATTCTGCTAAGATATCGGAACTTATATTTACGACATAACTTAGTTATAACTTCAAGTTATAACTAAGATATAACTGACTTCTTCTAGGGTAAGTTAAAAATAATGAACAACTAAGACCGTATCTTGTACTACTACTACTACTACTACTCCTCCTCCTCCTGCTGCTGCTGCTGCTGCTGCTGCTTGTAAATGTCACGTCGCTAATGCGTGGTGTTTGGCCTGCGCAGGCCACGATGTTCGGGATGAGTTTTGTTTGTCGATCATTTGTTGGTAAGAATTTTTTCCTGCTACGAATGCGTGGTGTTTGGCCTGCGCGGGCCACTCTTTTGGTGATTTTTGGTTTTCTGTTTTTATATCTGAAGATTTTTATTTATACTACGGCGACGACTACTACTACGACGACTGTGTATACTAGTCCTACTACTGCTCCTACTACTACTACCGCCACCACCACTACTACTACTGCTGCTGCTGCTGCCTCTACTCCTTCTCCTACTCCTACCCATACTCCTACTCCTACTCCTATACTGCTACTGTGGCGACTGCAACAACACGCATCAAACAATATTCTATTGACAAACCATATGCACACTTTTTGTTGGTGAAATATGTAGTTCTCATGTCCCTAATGAGTGGTATTTGGCCTGCGCAGGCCACAATATTTGGGATATGTGTTGATGATTGAAATTTTGATAGGAGACATATTTGTTTGATTACTCTTATTTTTCGATGGTTTACTCCAACTTGCCCGTGCTAACAATGATTAGCCAGTCTTTTGGAACAAAAACCTTAGGTCTTGCAATATCATGGTGTTTTCGCAACTCGTGCCCAGCCCGTACATTCCCATATTACCCCGGATGTTTAGAATGTGTTTTTGTTTGCATATTTCTCCCCGGAGAACTTTGGACGGATTTTCTAAATGTTTTGCATAGCGTTTGTATGCACACCAGAAAGCACAAAAGTGTTTGTTGTTTTTACCGTGGAACGCTTTCCCATGCGCTCAAAGTTGAAACATTCAATCGCACATAGCCTCCATTCATGATTCACTGTGGACCGGATGAGAAAGGGGTCAGTGAAACATCCGAAAAACCTTCTGTTCAAAAGCACTAGGTTTGTATTAAAAACATTGTGGTTTTCACTGACCTTTGAATTAACGGTTGAAGGTTCGTGTTGCTTAGGGTAATCTAATTTGATAATGTATAAATATATTTTTATATCACAGACATTCCATCTTACACCGGGGTGGTTGAAAAGAAGTCAATGCAGGCATATATTCCAATTGTCATCCATGGGTTGTTTGGGTCATGAGATTGTTCTGCGTTCTTTTGTAGAGACATGTCATGAGTCATGAGGAGTTGGGAAGGCTGGGGTTGGAGTCAAACCCCAACCGACTAGCCTCCACTAGTCGGTGCTTTCACAGTGAACAATTTACCAAACCCCTATCACTTTGAACATTTCACTGCCATCCGTCGATTCGCTGCACTCAACAGTTCATTGGCACCTGCTATACATTAATCCAAAAAGTCTTACGTAGCTTACTGACTGCAGCAGTTGAAGTCTAGGTTTCATCAGATGCAGCATAGTAGACTTAAGCAAAATCATGATTTAGCATTTTGGAATGCTTCGATGTAGATGGCAACGAAGGGCAAACTGAGGTTTTTCCTGAAACTTTGCTTGGACACACAAAACTATAAGTGAACACTTTCAGTTGAGGTACTCGCTACTGCCAGGGGTGTTCGAATGAACGAGGTTCCAGTAAACTCATCTAAATATGCAGTAATATATGAACATGTAGATACACCATGTAACCTCCATTGGGAGGCCCTTGCATAGGTGAAAGCTAGATGCCCTGATGTTCCTCAAAACACTGATAAGCCCAAAGCAGCTTGCCAACGGGCATCAGTCATAACACCCACAATCGCGTGTTGAGCTCCGCCTTTTAGGATCACATAGGGAATTGTCCAGAAAACTCACATGAGTCATGAGTGAGGAAAACCGGTCCCGACACCGGCGACACCAGTGACACCCGACAGGTCCCGAGGCTGGGGCGCTGGCAGCAGCGGGTCCTGCAGCGGGTGGCTGTTCGAAGGTCGACTTGCTGCGTTGACTTAGCCCAAGGAGTGAAAACAGATGTTCACTACCACTATTCATAAAGAAGCCGGTGGTTTCAGTGTGATTGTTGAGGGAATTGACAGGTGTTCTCAGATTCTCAGAGTCCCGTTTACAGGGCACATCCCACTGACATCTCTGACCGTCGGCTCTTCCTGCTCCGACTCCGGTGGTTTTTGACATGACAGTTGCGTGGTGACTCACATTCGACAGTCACATTCTGGAGGACAATTTGATAAAAACAATTGGAAGGTTTGCTGACCTGTCGTTACCATCTTCTGCATCATGACTCGACATGCATGCAAGAAACTTTAAATATGCGCATATATACGTTATGCAGTAGCTGTTGGGCACATTTGGGCACCGCACGTGAGAAGCACACCGGCGAAAACAACACTGTTTACCAGATGGGCAAATGGTCAGGGTGTGCCATCCCTTTCGGAGCATCATTCCTGTCATGTTTTCCGTAAACATCACATCCCCTCTCCCGGGACTATCACATGTCCGCCAGACACACCAGAAGCTCACGGCAGCTCAAGCAGCTCGCGCAGCTCATGCGGCCGCGTATTATCAGGTGAGTGGGGATGTGATTTCTGCGTCCATTCTGGGGCTTTGGGACGGGACAAACATCAGCCACACCTTCACGGCACAGATTGGTCCATTGTTGGTTTTGTATGCTGAGGCTGCTGAGGGTGGAATTACCCTCCAAGCAAGCTAAGAACGATACGTTGCATTGCATGCACATGCTTGGAAATGATGTGGTTTTCTTCCAAGTGGTCAGATGCATCTTGAAGCAGACATGCGTTTCAAGCATACGCAAACCAAAGTTGAGGAGCAATGAGCGGTGGCATTTGCCGCGTTGCAGTTCCCATCAGTTCCATATATAGGTGCAGCGATTGAAATCAAAATAAATCAGGAGATGCAACACAATGTCAATTTTGGATATCGCCGTGTGTGTGTGTGCTGCCTTTCGTTGGGATCTTGATTTCAGAATCTGTCTCCATCCGAAATCGGAATCGACCAGAATCGGCTGGCCTAAGGCCGCCTAAGGCTTTCGGCCATCCTTTCGGCTCTCACGGGGCCAGCCGATGACGGCCCCGCTCGCTCAGTGACTCATACGACGCCCGTACCCCTCCCATAGGAACCCCAGAGGAGCACATGGGTTCCATCATTACTACCGGTATGCGGAACATGGTCGACACCACCACTCAATTTACGAGCAGGGGCCTGGTTCTCCACTTCCGTGTGGTGTGTTCGTCGGAGTGTATACAGTCTTCTATGCCTGAGAGCTGCTCTGGAAAGGATCGACTGCCCCAGTGAGATGCATGACAACGCGATAGCTAGACGTGTGCTGCTGAGCAAAGGGTCCGTGTTTGGATTTCGCAACCTGCAATTATCATATAAAGATATCTGTACATTCTGTACGCTAACGGATGATATGCATGGGAATTCATGGGAATCTGGTTTTCTTGACCCAAGGCTGGCCCAAGGTTTCAAGACATGCAAACGTCAGGAGATGAACTTCGCGAAGAGACACGCGGAAGTGGAAGAGGTGAAAGGTGGCTCGGCAGATGCGCTTCAACCTTTGGCCCCATCTTGTGTGAGAGGACGTGACTAGGGAAGAATTGACCTTTGGGTATCATGTTGGAGTTTCCACGCTTAGGCTTCCTGGGCGTGGATTTGGTGGGTTGCGACTCGTTCATTGTCCTTTTCGGTAAGTTCTACATATCAACCATTGGAAGAGGTTTACAGCCATTGAAGGGCAGTACAGGGCCCCAAAAGTGCGGTTATATACTTGAAATGCT